CTTATAGCGTCCGTGAAACACGGAAAATCGACTATCAGAAAAAAGATATTCAGACCAAATACGACCCCCCCTCCTATTGGGAAATCCCCAACCATGATTCCCTGTCTCCAAAAGTATGCCAAATGAAAGGATCGTATTAACAACTGGGTGGGGGGATAGCACTTCAAACAGAAAAAACCGAAAGAATTCCGCGAACGAAAGCATCTTTCCTGAAGACAAATACGACCCGCTTCCTCCAGCTACCAAATACGACCCCTCACTGGGGAACCCCAACGTACGGCATGCACTGTCCCCTCTCCCTGTGAACAGAAGATTTTGCGAAAAAGCTGAGAGGGATGGTAGGGGTCGTACCAGTGGAAGAAGCCTGTGGCGGGGCAATCGTTTTGGCCCAAGTTTCACCCAACGCAATGACTGTTGTGGGTGGGAGTGGCACCATATTTGTGTTTCCGATTGCCAATCAGCGAGTAAGGTATGACGCACAGCCTATCGCTTACCGTACCATCGCCCCATCACATATGAACCAGTGAGCAATCAGGAATTCAAACAAGACCAGCATTCTTTTTCAAATGAATTATCCATTTGCGTCATCAACATTCCCCCCAATACTCATGTACGCTTCCATGTTAATCGATTCATCGTTGTTAGTCGTGGTTAATACGATCATTTCATTTGATCATTTGGCCCGGAAAACACAAAGTCGCTCCCTCCATCTAGACACGCTGTAAAATAGGCCAACCGTGAAAGAGTTAAAGGGTTAGGGGTCGAAAAAATTCTCTCGAAAAGCATTCGAACATCGTAGAAATACGATTTATCTAGCCTGAATATACATATACACGACATAATCTTGTCAAAATAGTACATAGTTTGTGTCATCGAGTAGGCAGTCTCCGGCGACCGCTCGCGACATGGCAATAACCGATCAATAAATCAATAACTAGCAATGAGGCGAATTATTCATGGAAAGCACTCTGAGTGTAAGCGTGAGGAATAGGAGGTGATCATCTAGGCTTGTGAACGTTCGGCGACTGCATTCGCCTCCATGTTATTGTTCTCTTCTACCGATTTTTCCAGTTGATGTCGAGGGTTGTCGCCAAGAAGTTTGAAGTGCACATGACAGTATAAACTGCCTTCTTTATTTCGATGGGCGCGTTCGACACTAAAAATCATAGATTTACAGGGTATCAACGAACCTACGTCCACTATGCGGAAGAGCACTTTATGAACCGAAATAATATTGAAAGTAGTAGTTAGCAACTGCAGAATTTTTGTTTGTTGGCAAATTATGATTAACTTTTGGATTCCACACCACGTCGGATCCTCCGAATCTTAGGACTCTCGAGAGCATGAATCCGTAGTGGCCCAGTTACGGCGCAAAATAATCATAGGGGCAAATAGGCAGAGGCTAAATCCATCATTTCTATTGCTGGGTCTATCGATAGAAGGTTGCCCAAAAAGTCCAACTTTTTCTCTCCCCGCCATGCGACGCGATCGATCGCCCGAACGCGTGGCCGAAGCGCCGCCGTCGCGAAGTCTGAACGCTGCCTAACGAGGCTGCACTGCCAACCGACGCTGGTGTACCACAGATATTCTTCAGCAGGCAGGGCTTACCATCGTTAAGATAATCACAACGGGGGGTCGTATTCGACCGCGAGGGAAGCGGGGTCGCATTCGGGCCGAGAAAATTTTTTTGATAGTTGATTTTTCTCTGGTTTCACGGACGCCATAAAGAGGGGAGATCGTATTTGGTCAAAGTTGGGAGAAGAGGGGAACGTATTTGTCCTTGAGAGGCACTTGCGGCGCTAGGAAAAACTTTTCTCGGTTTTTGACCACTTGCGGTTTTTCCGTTTCACTGTTGTTATATATCTCCATCTTCTAGTTGGCGTACTACTAACACCCACTATCATAATTCTGCTATACGTCTGTTTGTTTTTTAGTTTGTCTGCGGAAATTGGGTTCTTACCAAAAGAAACTGGAGAAGTGAGGGGCCAAGGTCCGGGTCGACGGGCTGAGCCAAGAGCTATTCCTGTGTAGGAAAGAGGCGCCTGTAAGAAATGGGTGGAGAGGATATGCAACGGCAAGAAGCACCACTTATTGCTAGCATCGCCTTGGTTATTATGAGTGTTGGTGTGGTGCAGACTTCTGAGCTCCCTAAGCTCGTCACGCGTGCTGGGAGGATCACATCAAGAGCGGTCAGTCCAAAGATAGTCTCGCGATCAAGTGGTAAATGCCTACGTGCATTCGGTATTCAGGTCCACACTCGCAGAGGTGGACAACTTAGTCACTCGAAAGGGTGGGAGGAAGTGGTCACGGGGGCATGATTCGCACTCTGGTCTTTTCAGACTGAGAAGAAATTGCAGCTTTTCCGATTTTTTTTTTGAAAAAAACAAGCAGTAGCAGTCATTCTGTACGGCAAGAGCGCTGTGGCAGTGCGTGCTCGAAGCAGGGTACAGCATCGTTGTGTCAAACCCATGAGGGGGGGGGGGTCGTACTTTTGCTCTGGGGAGGGGGGGTCGTATTTGTAAGACAAATTTATTTTGATAGTTGATTTCTTAGCGGAAAAGGGGGGTAATTTATTGCATTCTGACCCCGTGGATATACGTTGTGTAAGTTATTGGGTACCCCCCCGCTCCCTCGTGGCCTGGACCCTAACACAAGGGGGGGGGGGGGTGGTCGTACTGCCACAAACCGACATTTTCGGCAGCATCCGCATGCTGTACCCTGGCTCGAAGTAAGTAGCGATTCAATAAATTTGGTGCAAAAGCTCGTCGTGCATAGCTTATCGTAGTCCTAATTTCATGCACAGCACCCACCCCCGTTTTGGAGCAGTCTGAGCGAGGAAAGTGCAACAAGTGCAACTGCAACACGGACCCATTCATTTCGCACATGGAACTTATTACCCCTACTAGGTGAGTGTATACAAACGTCTTCAACAAATTGTTTCGTTGACGCTGAAGGTGAAAGATAGGGGTGGTCTTCTAGCCGTGATCTGACCGTCTCGTCATCACTTGCGAGTGAGTAGCAAAGAAAGCTGCGGCTTATAAAATGTTAAGGCTCACTGCGCCCAACCTTCGACCCTTCATTTACGCCGTATTACTCGAGTTATAGTACCGCTCGAGAGAACATCGAGAGAGAACTCTCACTTGGGACTGAGTTTGTTGAGCTTTATCGAGACGCCAAGGCTACTTTCAAGCAGGTCCGTGCCGCCACATTATCCGTATTATATATCACCTGATGAGGAAGTTTCTAGCTTTCTGGTCAAGCAGTTGCAAGTGGCGAGGTGGTACGCTTCTAAGGCTGTGAACGTATCATTTCTTGGAATAGACTCACCTGTCCGTTGATCGTACAAGTTTTCGTCAAGTTTCACGAGAGTGAATCTGGGAAGGAGATAGGGAGTCCTCGACAAATGTCCCTCTCCTTAGGGCCGTAGGGCAACACAGTTAAGGGAAAAAGATTCAAAATGTCTTCCTACCTCGCTTTCGGAAAGTATGCCATAAATCCAGAGGTAAGCCTAGAACAGCCGTCTGTTTGTTCTGCTTGTGTTGGTCCTTCTTTCTAAGCCTCACATGCCCTTCGCAAACCAAGGGGCTACTACATATTATAAGGCGTGTCTTCTGTCCGGCGTGTCTTCTGTCTTCTCAACCTTTTATGGACTCCTCCACTTTCACGGCTTTCTCCTACTTTGATTTCCAAGGCTTAAATGTTTTGGTTATACATGGCAGTTTCCTCTTCGTGGTTTCCTTTTCGTGTATTTTTTCTCTGTTTCACTTCATTGATTTTTTAATTCTCTTTTTTGTTGTTCGCTGGTTTTTTTTCGTTATTCCCTTTCTGTTGTTCTCTGGAATCATTGAGTTTCTTGTACTAATCGCCCGCATGGACCCTTGTGTTAATTGGCGCGTCATCGTACGCATAAATAAATAAATAAAAATCCTTTTCATATAACAAGAAGGAATAAAAGCTCACCGCAACGCTTGTCGACATACTGTACATCTGAAACAATTCACATGGTACTGTAAGCCAAAGCATCCGAACTGCTCAGCTCGGTATACGGTATTGCTGCATATGGCACATTTCGGCTGTGGACGCATCACGAAGCGCTAGAAAACACACGAGATCATGCTTGTTAGAGCAAATCAATCAAACATGTTAAGTCTCAATCAATTATCGATTGGGGAATATATAGTAGTCGTCAGGTTCAAGCTGATTCTTAGCTGCGTCGGCTATTCCCGAAACAATCGATTAATCGATCGACCGCGACGTGCGGCACAATTCTATCGGTGTTAAGGGCTATGAAAGGCAAAGGTTCAATTCTTGAAAGGTTAGAAGAATGTCAGAACAAAAATCCAGATTTCAGTCAATGAAAGTTTTTTGGAAACAAAGTGCCCTGTGCAGCAGTGTCGCCACGGCGCGGGCTGCCTGTGGAAGGCAGCGCCCTCCCTGGCTCACCCCTAGAGCTTTCCCCGAAGTAGTGACAGCCAGTTTGCCCTGGCCCACAGTTACATTG